TAGGGAACAAATTTTGTAAAGCTTAGTTGAAATTTGCAACTCAAAATGTAAGATATAGTGAGTCAAAATTGAAAATGTTATGAATCAAGAGCTTGACACACGTACGTTTGGCCAAACAACTATGCATTTGGAAGTTTACTTCGATCAAGTAATTGAAGTTCGAGATTAGTGGTTATTATAATAATATAATAAATAAATATATTTTCATTGTATAATTCAATATCCGACATCCCAATGAAAAAAAAAATCAAACCTATCGTACCTAATCTAACAAGATTTGTCTCTAGCATCAGAAAAAGCATATAGACTAGGGATCAATATCAACATGCAAAATGTATATGTGCAAAACACGGCGATTTTCTCTATATTTTACCTCAGGATTTTTACTGTTTAGAGGAACGAGCGTTGGATTCTTTTGATATAAGATATATATAAGATATATTGGTAATAAACTATATATTGATTATAAACCTCTACGTTTTAGCTGAACACTGCAAAAAATTCGTTAAATAACAATGAATTTTAACAATGGAATCGATTTGGTCACTAAATAGAGAGAAACTAGTAACAAAATAGTAAGCTGTTAAATTTAGTGATGGATTAGAGATGAAATAGTGACGAATACAAATCCATCACTCAATTTGATGGTAAAATTTTTCAAATATTTTAAAGACGATATAACGACGGATTTGTTAGAAAAAATAGCAACACGTCTATTATCCGTCGCTATTTTCATTCTAAGGAATGAGCGATGGAATATCCGTTGCTAAATTTAAATTCCCTCACCATTTAGCGACAATAAAATCCATCACTAAAGGAGGGATTCTTGTGGAAAATTTGATGCTGAGCTTTTGAAAGAAAAAATCGTCAATTTAGCGGTGGATTAGCGACGATTGTCGATAAATTGTGCCCAAATTTTAATTCAATAGCTAAATGTGAAAAATTGGCCACTAGTTATTTAGCATTGGTGCCCATTTAGACATGGATTATCGATGACTATCTACAAATTGAGATGGATTAGCGACGGACACTTGTTATTGTCGTAAAATATGAAAAATTGGCCTTCGAGTTGTTCAGCATTTGGCGTCTATTTAGATACGGATTAGTGATGGAGTAAGTGTCCGTCACTATTTAGAGATGAATTAACGACAAATCGATTACGTCGCCAAGCTCCAACTCGAATTTAAACTCCTTCTTCTTCCTCCTCCCTCATTTTCTTCTCCCTCTCCAAAACCATTGATTGTTGGCATTCTCCCATCCCGTCCAAACACCATCAAACTTCACTCCATTCTCAATCGATTCCACCCACTCGAAGGTCTTTTCTCCAAAAAAACCCTTGTTCCTCATCCGAATTAGGTATATTCTTCTTCTTCTTTTTTCTTAATTAAAGTTAGTGATTTGATGTATTCGTTAGTTTAATTTAAGTTTAATAACTAAGTTTATGATTGTGTATATGTTTAATTGGTATTCTATAGCTTTATTTGTTAAATTGTTAATTTTTTATAAATTATTAGGTGAATTGGTTGATTAATTTGTTAAATTTGGTTAATTGTTATGTTAATTAGTTAATTAATTATAATTTCAATTAAATTAGAATTATTTTGTAATTAATTAAGTTAATTTTATTTAAATTTACTTAATTAATTAGGCTAATTATATGTGTATTTGGTTGAGTTACACAAAATTTGTTAATTAATTGTAATTTTATTAGTTAGTTATTTAATTAGTCTTAATTTAGTTAATTTAACTATTAATTTAAATTTATTTTGGTAAGAATTAGATTTAATTAATTAATTAGTTTAATTATGTTTAATTAGTTGGATTATAAGTTTATTTATATTAAAAATTATTAATTTAAATTTAATTTGGTTAGAATTAGAATTAATTAATTTAATTAGATTTATAATTAATTAATTTGTTTAATTATGTCTAATTAGTCGTATTATAAGTTTATTTATATTAGAATTTGCTAATTAATTGTTAATTTAAATTTAATTTGGTTTGAATTAGAATTAATTAAGTTAATTTTAATTAATTAATTATGTTACTTTTGTTTAATAGGTTGAATTAAAACTTGATTTATATTTGAAATTGTTAATTAATTTGGTTTAATTAATTAACTAGGTTAATTTTGTTTAATAAGTTGAATTAAAACTTTATTCATATCTAAAATTATTAATTAATTATTATATAAAATTTAATTTGGTTAGAATTAGAATTAATTAAGTTGACTAAAATTTTATTTTTTTAATTACTTAGGTTAATTTTCTTTAATAGATTGAATAAAAAATTTATTTATATTTGAAATCATTAATTAATTGCTATATAAAATTTAATTTGATTAGAATTAGAATTAATTAAGTTAATTTGATTTTTATTTAATTAATTAAGTTTGTTAATTTTGTTTAATTGGTTGAATTCATTTTTTTTATATTATAAATTGTTAAATTAGCTTAGATTTATAATTAATTATGTTAAATTTTTTATTTAAGGAGCGATTGGATGTTAGTGGCTCCACATGGAAATCTATCTTTATGGAGACAAAAGACTTCTACTTTAATGAGTTTAGGATAATATATTAATTATTGTCTTATATTTTATTTAAAGTTTTAATTTACCATAAAAATCATTAATATTATTTTTGGTCTTGAAATAGAAGTATTTTTTGTGTGATGTAGCCATCATTGCACCGATTGACGATGCATGTGAGAGTCTAGCACGGAGGTTGAACGACGACGTGCTCAACAAAATGAAGAATAAGGATAACCGACTTGTGTTTGTTAAACGAGGAGGTATGGGTAGGGTTATTCACTATTTGATTTTAACCAAAAAACTGAATTGAACCGAACCAACATATCCATTTCGGTTTTGTTTTTGTGAAATTTAAAAAATAAAAACCAAACAAAAATTATTTTGATTTTTGGGTTCGATGATAACCAAAAAATCGAATTAATTTTTTTTCACACACACACGCACACGCACACACACGCACACGCACACACACACACACACACACATATATATATATTGAAGTGAGAACGAGTCATCACCTCCTCCTCCCCTTTGAGTAATCATGCACTAGCATCAATGTCTTGCAATCATCTATATAAATGTTCAAAAAGGATCATCTATATATATTGAATCTTTATTTCATCCTAATTACAAAGAAAAACCAGATTAAATGCATGGAAATTTAATATAGGCATTTATATTCCAAAATTGATTTTGCAAATATGTTGAACTACCAAATCTCCAACCATAGGACCATAGCGACTTAGGGAAAAAGTCTATGATCATCAACAAAACATGATATTTTGTACCAAATATTAATAGTTTAACATGACATTTTTTTTAGATTTATTTTTAAAAAAGAGCAAAAACCGAATAACCAAAAAGTAAAACCAAAATTTTGATTTTTTAACCGAAATACCGAATAACATTTTGATTCAATTTTTATTTTCTTTCTTAAGAGTTTGATTAAACGAAAACCGACTAAAATATTTCGAAATTGAACGAACACCCTTAGGTGTGGGAAGCATAGCATCGAAATTGAGCCATTTCGAGTATCGGATGTGATCTTAGTAGACGTCTCAAAATCAAATGTCGAAGAAGGATGGTGTTAATGTTGGCTCATCCAAGCATACTAAAGGATCCATCTCTTTGATAGAGCATGCCGAGCGTTTGGTAAATACTACATTATTCATTATGTTATAAATTAATTTTTTTGTTTATTTCATCTCATATTATTTTGTGTATTTTTTTCAGCATCATAAATTGGGTCATAATCAAAATCCTTACAATTGTTCGTGACCACTCACAAGTGAAAGAATGAGACATTTATCGACATATGATCGCAGACAAGTAATTCTAAAGTTTTATATGTTTGTTTAAATATAGATACATATTCCAATATAGTCTAAGAAATACATTTATAATTTATTATTTTTATTATTTGAATGACTTAGGAGTGTGTGCAATTAATGCAAAAAATAACTATTGAGGAGCGACACGACGGTGATTCATCGTTTCTAGATATTGATATGTTCAAAATATATTTGGATGCTATTGGAGGAGAGAAGAAGCAAAGAGTGTGCGGTATCGAAACTTATACATCCTAGTGTTACTCTCATTCTAGTGTCAACTCCTCTTTTGCCACTTCGCGGTACCTTGGTGGTAATATCCGGGAGGTTTACGTCCAAGACGAGGATCGGATCAAGGAGATGGAGGCTACCATCCAGCAATAAGCCAATAAAGTTAAAAGCATGCACACTCATTTGGTGAGAGTTTTGAAGTTGTTAGAGAACCTCTAGCCGCCTCTCAACTCTTTTGTCGACCCTCCCATAACCCAACGATTAGTCATCCTTCTTAACAACCAGCGACCGAAAGATAATGCGGAAGATGATAATAATGAAGACTAAATTTCTTATTTAAAAAAATATATATATTTTTGTACATCTTAACACATTTATATATTTATTATATTTTAATTAATATAATTTTTATTTTATCTAATAATATAGCATGTTTTAATAAGGTGTTATTTAAATTTGTTTATTATTATAATTATCAATAAATAGCAATTCATTTTTAAAACAAATTTAAAAAAATTAATGATGGAATAGATATGAAAGTTAGCAACGATAATATTCAGTCGCTAAATAGCGATAGAATTACAAGGATATTAGTGATCGAAAAATTTATTCTTATTTAGCGATGAAAATAAATGAAAATAGCGACGGTTTGCGACGGATAAAAAACGTTGGACATGATTGATTTAGAACTATTTAGAGATGGACTATCGACAAAATAACGATGAAAAGAAATTTAGTCGCTGAAAAATTAACGACCATTACTTTCTTGATTGATTGGATTTTGTTTCTAATGCGTCGCTAAAGTCATTTAGTTATGAATTTCTAGGAAACAGGGATGAAAATCGGTCGCTATTTTTCGAAATTTTTGTAGTGAAATTAATGCTGTGAACAGAGAAACGTAGAGTACAAATGAGCGAATCTGGTCAAAAAGCTGTAAGCAAGCACATACCCTCTCATGATTCTTTAACACAAGGGTACTTGATCGAACCACTTCGATTTCATGGTTGTGACAATTGCGGTCTCCTGGTGGAGTTTTTTCCATACAGGTCTATCTGTTTACCCATTTTGATTGGAAGCACGATGTCCCATTGCGTATAAGTTTAACAGGACCATGCCTATTGTGCCTTAGCTCAATTGGTTAACGCCCGTTTAGGCCAGTACTTGATTCGAACCACTTAGATTTCATGGTTTTGGCAATGGCTGTCTCCTAGTGGAGTTGTTTCCGTACAAGTCTTATCTTTTTACCTATTTTGAACGGAAGTACGACGTCCCAATTCTAATTAGTTTGACTGGACCATGCCTATCGTGCCTTAGTTCAATTGGTTGACGCCCATTTAGGCCAGTACTTGGCTGATCGCTACCTCTCACAGTTTAGCCATGGGAGCGAAACTAAGAATCATGGATTGCCATATCAATGGCGCCGTGGAACCCACCCATATACGCGGTGCATGGACTCCCATTTGCAGAGAAGTATGTGCTAACAATGATGAAAAAGCAATAACAGAAAAGGTACGTACATCAATAGCGATGGATTTGACTGTATAGGGCATTGATGACGCGCAGCAGAGAGGCCGAGTTAGGGTTCGCAAGCAAAGAGGGCAAAGAGAAAGCAATATTTCGTTGAGTACTGTTTTACAAAATAATTATAAGAAGAATGACAAATTTGAACTTCTAACAAATAAATTGACATCTCAAGAGTAGGAGACATCACTTCTCACTGCATCCGTTTTACTATTATTATACAGACTAATAAGTCATGTAATGGCTATATACATGTAGTTTCTTGAAGCAAATTAACCATCATCACTATGTATTTTTTCATAAATTTCTAACAAATATTGAAACATAATCTGTCTTAGATTAAACTGTAAAAGAATAATTAATCTTAATTTGCAGGAGTTGATTTAGTTAAGGATATATGGAACTTAGCTATTAAAAAAAAAAAAAAAGAGAAGAGAGAGAAAAAAATAAAGTGGTACTGCACATATTTATAACGAATGATCAATCAAATAACTCTACACCCAGCTCCTTAATCAAATATTTTTTTAGTGGAAATGATATAGTACATTATAAATGGCTAAAATCCCTTAAACTATAATTGAGATGCAATTTTAAACAATATACTTTGAACATGTGATCAAAAACTTTTTGAACTTAGCATATTCATTCGTGATTTGCTTCCAAATATAAAACTCTCGAGAACTGGTAATGTCCAAGTAAATTGGCCCTACAACAATTTATCGGATATCTTCGAAAAGATGCATGCATGTTGACTACCCTTTCATGGGCATCTCCATGACAAATTTACTAATTAATGTACCAGTATATCAAAAAAGTTTGAAAAAGTAAAAACAAAACGAAAGAACGAGAGAGAGATAATATTGTACGGAGGAGTTTTGATTAAGATAAAAAGAATAAAAAAAAGAAAAACAAATGACTTTCACAATATCTGTCTGCTAAAGAAACAAGAAAAAATTACATAACCGAACAGACCCAAGCTCACGTTTAAGTTACCCACAAGAAGGAGGAACAATAAAATATACTACTAGAAGGAAGCTAAATGGTCTATGAAGTTTCTCGAAATGGAGCACCAATATTGTGACAACTGTCAAAGTCCAGCTGGCTACCATCAAAGAACTGTGACGGTAGAAGTAGAAGTAGAAGCAGTAGTATTGTATGCCTATGAGATTGAGTGCACCCAAAAAGATTGAGGTACCATGCTCCAGATACTTCTACGTGTGCACTTTCTATTGCCGTACAAGATGATATGGAACCCAGGGGGACCAGGGAGATATCAAGTCGGATCTGCTGGGTCGGAGATCTTAAGAATTCCGACATTTGAGCTGGATGCCATTTTAACAAAAGGCAAACAGGAGCAACTAATTGCCTCTGGAAAATAGATTTTCATGATTTATAAAATAATGATTTTCATGAACATATTTTTAAATAAGATAAATTATTTTTCATGAACAGTAGTAGTATTTTTCATGAACAGTAGTAGTAAGCTGCGAAACCGTTGTATTGTGAGGTACGGATTGGGATGAACTGTTGGTGGTGCAGTTAATTATAAAAGGATGTTGGAGTCTATTTTGTTACGTCTATAGAATAAAACACATTCTTTTTTGAATGATTATAAGAGAAGTATAAAAGATATGTTTTCTTCATTTTTTAATTTATATGTTTGTTTGACTTTTTTCAAAAATAATTTCTTTAATAAATACATCTACTATGTTTGTTGTAAGTGTTTGTTAATTTAGGGAAAGTTTGAGTTAAAACCCCATGTCCTTAATTGATTCACACTATTAAAAGTAAGTGGGGGTTTTGGAGGGTTCAAACCTCTCAAAGTGATTAAATCTCTTAACAACCCAACCAAATTAGCATGTTTAGAGGGGTTAAGATTATTAAATCATACAAACATCCTCAATTAAGAAAAAAAAATTACTTACTTTCACCTATTAAAGCTATTTTTGTAATTTAAAAATTAATTAATCCTTTTTTTAACCCTCTCATTTCCTAATTACTTTTCCTTCCATTCCTTTAATTGCATGTCCGAAGACAAGAAAAAAGGTTGAAATACTACCAATATTCCCTTTCTTTATTTATCCTTACTAACCCAATCCTTTCTTACCTTTAATTTCTTCCATCCAAACATAGTACTCGTTATTCATACTCTTGAAAGTTAGAAGGAAAATATATGTACGGATATTATCGTACTTCTAAAGCATAACTAATTGGACTTTTTTATTTATTTAAAACCCGTGAGTGGTTAAGGTGATAATATAATAAATTGAGGTAGAACTCTATTCAAACATAGTACAAATAAAATAAAGGTCTATTCAAACCTCGTATAGATAAACTAAGACTTTTTTTGAATATTTAAATCTCAATTATTGTATCTTTTTGTAACCTATTTATAGGTGAATATACAAACACCACATGTATAGAATTCATTCAATTGTAAACTTCTTCATGGTATCGAGCCACTTTAGGTTTAACAACCAACGTGCGAGTCTCTCCTTTTCTTTTTTCCTCTTCCTTTCTAGCCATTCCACCTAACCACCATCCATTTGTGTCCGTTAATGTTATTATCTACGACCTATTGCCTTAAGTTTTTCTTCTTTTTTTCTCGTTTTGTCTTGTTTGCCAAATCACAACACCGTAGTCATTCATGCACACCCTATCATACTATCCGTGATGATTTTACTATTGTCATTCTTTCAACAATCCCTAGTTAAGCATTCTTTTTCCCAACTCCACATCCACGCCTACCCATACGTCCGCCCACACCCCTCCTACTATCCATATCCAAAACTTTGTTTGCTCTTTCTTTTGTTTTTTTTAGCAATGACTTCTACACTTGATAGTATTGATGAGCTCCATTCTCCCGTCACTATCTTAAGCCACACAACTACCACACCATCGACCTCACACCTAAATATTTCTCATAATTTTACTTGTCAAATTAAACTCCGCCAACTTCCTCTTTGGCAAACCCGGATCTTACCCCTTTTACGTGGACATGATTTAGTTCATCATGTTGATGGAACCATGGCACCACCATCTCGTACCCTTGACAACACTATCCCAAATCCTCTCTATATGTCTTGATATAGGTAAAATCGATTGGTGCTCAGTTGGATCATTTCCTCTTTGATTGAGTCCGTCATCACCCATATTGTTAATGTTTTTACTACTAACGAAGCATGGTCGCGACTTACTTTAGCTCTATCCTTCAAGCTCTAAAACTCAAGTTCGTTCACTCAAGGTTTAACTACATCAATGTTTGTAAGATAACGATGATATTTCCATTTATATGCAAAAAGCGAAAGCTTTATTTGATCACTTTATAGCCTTTGATCATTCAATATCTAAAGATGAATTTATTGATGCTATCTTTACAAGTCTTAGTCATGTATACAAACCCTTTATCGAGTCTTTGAAAGCTAAACATGTCTCTGTCTCTTTTGATGACTTATTTCGGCTTCTCCTTAGTAAAGAAAGGCAACTCTCCCAAGATGCCATAGTTATAGAGATTATTCCCGCCCTAATAGCTCATTATTCTACCCATCATGGCAGTTTTTCTTAAGGTTATGGATGGGGTTAATGGGGATGTGGCCAACGATGTGATGGCAATTCTCTAGGTATATTCAATTAGCCACATATTTCTTCTTATCATTCCGCCCTTAATATAGAATCCGATGCTTTCAATCAAAGCTTCACTATGTCACAATTGTCGGGACGGTGGCTACATTTTCAAGTAGTATCTTTCTCTACACTTCAAATATGATTCTCGATAGCCCCAAAACCATTAACCTATTAGTTATCTTGTTACTACTAGATCTGCTAGCTTTTTTACCTTAGATTGTTGATTCGAGGACCATATATCATCTCACAACAAACAAGGAAAACCTATCTTGTTCATCCCAATACACTAGGCGTGAAGAAACACTATTAGCAATGGTAAAACACTTCTAATATCTCATATTAGACAATCTTCTTTTCTTGCTCATAATCACGTTTTTTATTTGAAGAATGTTTTATACATGCCTACTTTTTGTGAGTTCTTTTACTAAATCTAATTTAGTTTCTATTGAATTTTTTAGCATCATTTTGCAATTAAGAATATCCATACGAAAGAAGTTCTTCATTCCGGATCGAATAACGGGGGTTATATATTCTTTCATTCAATCAAACCATCGATGTTAGATCCTCTCCAATTTTTGCTCATGTTATCTTTGTTTTTCTACCATATAAGGATGTACATTTGGGTCATGCCTTTTTTTAGACTATTCGTCAAGTTCTCAAAAGCAATAATTATTCATTCCCTTATATGAATTTTGTTTCCTTCGTCATGCATGCAATATTAGTAAGAGCATTAGACTATCTTTTATTTTTTCAAATTTTCAAACATAATCTCCTTTTAAGTTAATTTGTTCAAATGTGTGTGGTCCTTCTTTTGTTACCTTTGTTACTAGTGCTAAATATTATGTACTTTTTTTTCATCATTTCAGCAAGTACACTTGGATATTTTTTATTAAATATAAATTTAAGGTCCTTAGTACTTTTATTAACTTTCGACATCTTATGAAAAAATAGTTTGGATATTCAATTAAATTCTTTTAGGTTGATTAAGGTAGTGAGTATCGAGCTCTCACAAATATTTTGTTCATAATAATATCATACAACAAAACTCATACCCGCACACTCTCGAGTAGAAAGAGTGTACTGAACATAAACATCATCATATGGTTGAAACGGGTTTAACTTTATTAAATCATGCTCGGGTTCCCCGGCAATACCAAACATATAATTTTGATACAATAGTTTATTTTACTAATCAACTTTTGACTCTTTTCTTATCTAATCAAGTACAATATGCGAGTCTTATTTAAAATGTCCATTGATTATGATTTTTCTTCAAGTTATTGTTTGTGCTTTCTATCCTTAGTTAAGGCCCTATGCTATAAATAAACTGGCCCCTCGATCGAGAAGATGTGTTTTTCTAGGTTATAGCAAAATTCACGGTGATTATTTTTATTTGGATATTACTATTAAGAGGATTTATATTTCACAACATGTCAAATTTTATGAATAAGAGTTTCCTTTTGTTTACCTAAATATGGGCTCCTTTAACAATTCATTCACGAGTCCACTTTTCTAGCATGCTCACTCGCCTAATCCGCCTCTACTTCCTACAAGTCCGCCTACATGCATTCATCCTCCTATGCCCACTAATTCTAATGTTCCTTCATATATAGCTGCAACAATAATGGGTCGTTCCTCCTTTCGGTTCCTAGCCTAGTAGTCCCACAATCATGGTTCAACGACTTTTCATCTTCTCATTATGGTTTGGTTTATGTCTAGCCTACAAGTCAACAACCAAGGCCTTCAACACAACCCATGCCCCATGCGTCATTTCATATCTTTACCTACCGCCCAACCAACGAGCCCACTTTCAATGTCACTTTGGATTTCACGGGTTACTCCAATTCACGACTCATGACACAACAACCTCGTGCTCTACTTCCAACGAGTTACTTAGCCATAGTCCATGACCCATGCCTTTCAGCTCCTGCTAACTCTGGCATAGCATCTCTATCCATCGGTAGGCTCACATCTATTTCTAGTACAATATTCTTCATCTCGCTCAGTCCATTGTTCAGCCCTACACTAAACGTCATTCCATGATCACAAGATCTCAAACTAGGTACGTAAAACCCAAAGCATTTGTAAGTTTGGCTATCCCAAATTTGGATCGTTAGTCTTACTCCCAAGCTATCAAAGATGATTACTAGAGAAAAGCCATCATGAAGAAAATTAATGCCTTAATCCATAATGATATATGGGTTTTGGTACCAAACAATGCTTCACAAAATATGGTGGGTTCTAAATGGGTGTTTCGTAAAAAACAAAGCCCGATGGTAGTGTTGAGCATTACAAAGCCTATTATGTCTCTAAAGGTTTTCATCGGTGTCGTAGTCTAGATTACACTAAAACCTTTTCTTCCATTGTCAAACCTACTACCATTAAACTTATTTTGTCCATTACTATTTCCAAACATTGGAATATTAAGTAATGCTTTTCTTTATAACACTCTTGATAATGTTTTCATGACTAGCCTTAGGGGTTTATTGACCTATCTAAACTTCATCATGTCTATAGACTCAAGAAAAGTTGTTATGGTCTCAAACAAACTTCGAGATCTTGTTTCCACTACCTCTCTAATGCCTTATACACACTTGGTTTTGTTGGTTCTAAGGTCTGTCTCGTCTTTATTTTCTAATCGGAAAGGTGATACTTATACCAACTATTTAGTTTATATGGATAATATAGTGCTAATTGGAAGTTCTTCATCTTTCCTATCATCTATTGTTGCTACTCTTCAATGTCTTTTTCCTCTCAAAGATCTTGACAACTTGCATTATTTCCTTGGTATTAAGACTATTAAAGGTCCTCTTTTAGCCCAATCCAAGTACATTGATAATATTCTACTTCGCTTTTGCATGTATGAAAGCAATTCCATTGCCATTCTTGATTGTCCCAAGCATCATCTTACTATGTTTATTGGTGAACCATTTTGTAATCTCTTATTGTATCGTAGTATTATGGGAAGTCTCTAGTATCTAACCACGACACATCCTAAGGTTTCCTATTTTGCTAATAAAATCGCTCAATTTATGCACTCTCCTACCACCGATCGTTGGCAAGTAGTCAAACGATTCCTTCATTGACTAAAGTCCTCTCATTCTCATGGTTTATAGATCCAACCTTCACCTAATTCACATATATTTGCTTATAGTGATGCTAATTAGGCACGACTAATTATTTGATATTTATTGGCACTAATCTAATGTCTTAGTGTTCCTGCAAACATTGTACGAGTGTCCAAATCATCCACTGAGGCTAAATATAGAGCCTTATATGTAGCTGCTTCGAGATTCTATGGTTGTAATCTCCATTTCATGAATTACATTTGGCATCTTCTACTCGCTCCTATCTTATGGTGTGATAATCTAAGTACTACATATGTCACTCGTAATCTAGTTTTTCATTCTCGATCCAAACACTTAGAGATTGATTTTTACTTTGTTCATGACCGTGTTGGTATAGGAGATCTAACTCGTTCACTATATTTTCACATAGGATCAAATTACGAATTGCTTGACCAAATCTTTATCTAGACATCAATTCCAATTTCTTTCGACAAGTTGACGGTTAAGTATTTCCCGACTCAACTTGAGGGAGAGTGATAAGATAACAAATTGAGTTAGGACTCTATTCAAGCATAGTATAGATAAAGTATAATTCTATTTAAACATAGTATAAATAAAGTAGGACTTCTTTTGAATATTTAATCTCAACTACCGTATCTCTTTGTAACCTATTTATAACCGAGTATACGAAGTCGACCGTGTGGAATTCATTCATGTGTAAACTTCTTCATATTGTTTATTTTACTTTCAAAAACAAAATGCATGACACTTTAAAGGAAAATTATTTTGTTTTTAGTCGAACACTTTGCTTTAAAAAATAAAAGAATTTATTGTGATGTCGTTATTTTTTAAATAAAAAAACCGAGCATAGTTTTTGGAGAAAACCTTAAAATACCACCCCATCTATATAGATAGTCTCATTTTAGTGTCGATTTTACTATCAAATTTTCAAAAAAAAATTAAAAATAAAAAAAATTAAAACTTCATTCATTTTAAAACTTTCTATCCAAACTACAATATATATATTTTTTTCCTTTCTCTAAGAAACAACGTCATTTTATAGAGAATTTAGCATTTTTCAGTGCTTCTAACAGGAGTCCTTAATTGATAAATTAAAATATTTTATTAGTAAAATTGATAATTAATGTTTCAATAATTTAATGGTATATATAATGTTTGCACTGTACTTTATTAATGCCACTTGATGTAGTCAAACACAACACAACCATAACAAACACACTTGGTATATATTAAACTAATTTTAAAAGTTAAAACATAATTAAAAAAAAAAAAGAGTAAATGAGGATTTAATGAGAAGAATAAAATAAAGGGATGAATAAAGGATTTCTTCTTTAGATATCCAATTTTTCTTTATATATATATAGCCATTCCTTTAATTTTAGCGGTGAAGAACTCAAAGAAAATACAAACTTTGCATCTATGTTTCAAATCTTCGATTACATCCTTAATTAGAAAAGTACTGGTTAAAAACAAATTCATAAGTCGATAATGGAGTTGGCATAATTTACAGTTTTACTGTCATTATTTTCTTTCCATTCATGCAACCAAGCAAGAGAAAATTGTTGAAAAAGGGGATACGTTTTCACTTCTTTTCTTTTCCTTTCAACTTCTTAGCGTATTTTCCCTCTAATTTTATCCATCTATAATTATATGTACACAGCGTAAAAGTCTAATTTTGGCACTCGCCTAATAAATCAAATTAAAGTTTTAATTTATTGATCAATCATTTGACTAATTTTATACAAAAGTAACATATTTAATTAAAAGAAAATTTTATATAATAACCAGAAAAGTTATACAAAAATCTTACCAGCTGCATGATTAAAATTTCTCATCATTATTTGATGCAACGATGTCATAAAGCATTATTTATACAAAAGTAACCTTATAGTGCCACGCACATTGATGCGCGGCTTCCTATAAAATTTTAATTCTCGATGGAAAAATAAATCCACTTATCAACTAATTATATAATATTGATGGTGGGTGTGTTTCCATATTTTATTCACTATTCAGAATTCAAGTCTTGAAAAATATAGCAACGCATCACTGTAGATGTTGAAAATAATTTAGCTTAATAAATAAAAAATTTAATTTAAAAAAATACTCTTAACTTAAAATAAACTAAAGTCTTAACCACTCGGATGCGCCTTGGAATCGGAATTCTAACATTGAGGCAACGTAAAGTTTATCCTTGGGAAATATCAACTACTTAGTTGATTTCATACAAATGCGAGTGGCCGATGGCCCTGTTCTACATACGTATTGCGAGGATATATATGACTACTTCTCAAACCACTTCCATATAATAAATTGGGGTTGCTTTCTTCATGTGGATGATCTAGAGGCTAGACTGCGATTGAAGGAACATGTGATATGTAATTAATTAATATTAGCTAGAATTTCTCAATCAATCAAAAGGTAGTTAGATAGTATATCACAAAAAAAAAAAAAAAAAAAAGCAAAACAGTCACGGAAAAATCCATCGCTATTATAGTAAATTCTATCACTAAAACGACTTAGTGATGGATTTGCGATTGAAAAACTCCATCGCTAACTTTTGTGATGAAATATGCAGTATCCCTCACTAACTTAGCGACAGATTATCCGTCTCTAATTCGTTTTATTTGGTCATTAAGTGGACGTTGAAATCATTGTCTTTCCATTATATAATATGTCGTAATTTCATCGCAAACTCGTCTTAAATCCATCGTTATTCGTTACTAAATTGGGTTGTTATTCCATTGCTAACTAGTGATCGTACTTTTTCACACTAAATTTCAACAAAAAATATTTTTTTATTTTCATATCCATTGCTAATATATTTTTTTAATTTTTATTTAATTTAAAATTTTTTTATATTCTCGAGAGTAACTAACAATTAAAACAAACAATTTATTATAAAAATTAATTTTTTTCATTAAAATTAAAATATTATAAATTAAATCGAAATTCATGTTAAAAAAATTATTCGTTAGTACGTAAGAAATAGAGTCAAAACATAAAAAAGAAAAAGTAAAAGTCACTCCTTATGATGATCAACTATTCCTCTCTCATCTTCTGGGGCTCGGTAGGCGGGACGATGGAGTATTGGTCGGTGAAGGAGTCAATAGACAAGCGGGACGTCCGTGTCGGCTATGTAACGTCACCGTAATCGACTCAATCCGAGTCTCCATCCCCTGGATCTTCATCTACTCGCTTCATGATAATGTTATTTTACTCGTCTAACCTCACTCGCATTCCCCTCATCGTATCCTCGTACTAACCGTGAATTTGATCACAAGCATTGTTGTCAAGGAACTACGATGATACGAAGGACGAGCCGACGCCAACTAAATGGAATAAATACTACAACGCTTGTGACATGATCCCATAAACCCTCATCTTCTTCTCCTCTCCTACAGCTTTGAGGTATATGGCATCGGTGTCGGCTCGTCCCTCCTCAATTCAAGCCTCTTCGTCGCTTCCTTACACCTTTCGGCATCAACTCCTCCACACACTCCTATGTAATCAAAATAATTATAACATTAAAAAATAAAATAATTTTTAGATTATATTTGCATATGTATAATTTACAAATTAAAAACACTTACCATTATTATCTAAACTCATAAATCAATGAAAGTCTTAACCTTCGTTTGTGAGTGGCCCCAAACAACTACGAATTAGCAACTCATGTCCCAATTGGATAGCCCGAAAAAAATAGACACAAATAAGATGGGCTATAAATATTAATTTTTTAAACATTGAATACTATAGAATAGGATTTATCATTCGGTTAGCGTGCTCGACGACGAGAGATGGACCCCCGTATGCCTAAACGAGCTTGAAATAATACCATCGGTCTTGGACATTTGGTTATGTGATGCTTCGTCGTGAATGCACTCGACAATTAGGTGTGGAAAAATCTCACTATCATGAATCCCACACCTTCGTCGGATAAAAAAAGGTCTT